TTCTAAATAGTTTCTATGTCTCATGCTGCCTATGAAACTCTTCCTGCCAACATCAAAATTTCCACTATGACAAGCTTCTTCAAAAGAAGGTCAGGCTAGTCATAAACAACACATCATACTCTCCACAGATCCTCCAAATTACATAAACATTGACTTCCAAGACCATATTGAAGCATCCCAAAGATACAAAAGTACACTGGAGCTGTATCGGAGGACTTGAAAGAGAGGGGCGCTTCAACGAAAATGCTGTGATCCCAATTTCTTCATTCATCTTGACTTAGAGGTAAGGCTGGAACCTTGTAATCCTTCGTTAACTTTAAGTCCTTGTTAGTTATAATGTTAACAATATCCAACTTCATCACAATGCTTTCTTTTGGAGGGGTTGGAGGGTTCTCTTTGATAACAATAGCTCTTATTTTGCATATGAGAGTTTGTTCTAGATTGGTTTTGGATGTGGATTTGGAATGTCTCTGTTGTTCTAAATGTTCTGCTGTGTGGGTTTTTCACTAACATGAAGAGCAAATGAGAGTTTCCTTCAAAATGTTTTATCCTTAAACTTTACAACTATCTTTTTCCATAAAAAAAAAACCTGTGACAAAGCATTCTAGCCATAAGCCTAATGTGGCAGTACTGAACTATTGAATGGTTGTAAACTTGGCATGAAATAAATTTATAAATACTTAGCACATTAACCATGTCAACACACAGCTCACCTTGTAGTAGCTGTACTAACACATGAACTCTCAAAGAGATATCAAATATTACTGGTAATTCATCACTTTAAGCACTATGTAATATACATACACAATTTGTTTGATCTGTGTTATTCATTTAAAGAGCGTAAGTAGGACTAAACTCACCGGACTGGCCGGGGTCCTTGGCCAAGTAGGACTAGTTGCTACCTCAAACTCATCGTGGAATGAAGACATAGAAGCTGTACCAGGAGAAGGTACGGTGTTAGGTGTTGGAGGGTGCGACAGAGTCTGTTTGCTGTTTGGTTTTGGTGTCTCTGACCGCTCCTCCGGTAAGGAGGAAGACCCAGAAGCATTAGACAACTGACTTCCTTCGTCCATAACTAAAGGAGGGTTAGATCCCAGAGCCATTTTGCTTTGCTGAAGAAGCTGGTGGTGGTACTGGTGATGATGTACCTGAATACTACCTGGCTGCTGTTGTAGCTGGACTTCTGTTGGGATGACAGCTGTACCAGCAGTCATGATAGATGAAACAGGAGTGCTGATGCTCTGAGTCACCATGGTAGTTTGAGCTGTGAACAAAGTAAAAGATGAAGACAAGTTAGAAAACGAGATGAATTTTTAAGCCTTGAATGTATACTTCCCAGTACCCCGGGAAATATACGTCCCAGCCGCAGCGAATGACTTAAAAAGATTGACAGGAGTTTACTAAAAATATTGGAAGACTTATCATGAATATTTTTAACACCAAATGATTGTACTTAAAACACAATACTGTTATTTTATAGGTAACAGAAATGTTTCTGCTAATTCTACTGACAAAAAATTATTTTAAAACGAGCACTTTTAATTGACATAATAGATCAAACAAAATATTATTAATTAAGGAAATATCACACTTCGAAATGATGTATTTAAGTGTTTTACACTCACAAAAAAGAAACCCATCATTCTATAGGTATTTGAAGAACGTGTAGCATTTCGCCATAATTTAATTCTTCGTATTATTAGCCAACACTGGGCAGCTTGTACATAATTGAATAAACAGAGTTGTTTAAACATTTGTTTAACAACAAGTAAAAGCTTGGGTTTATAAAGACTTTAGATTACAGGTCTTTAAAAAACCTGCCATACAGAATTAGACTTTTCTAGGAACTTTCGTTCATCAAATATGCACACGAGCAGAAACGACAATAGTCACAAGTCTTGCACAGCACACGATTCAATGATCAACACAAGTCTTAAACAAACCCGATTCAATGATCGACACAAGTCTTAAACAAACCCGATTCAATGATCGACACAAGTCTTGCACAAACCCGATTCAATGATCGACACAAGTCTTGCACAAACCCGATTCAATGATCGACACAAGTCTTGCACAAACCCGATTCAATGATCGACACAAGTCTTAAACAAACCCGATTCAATGATCGACACAAGTCTTAAACAAACCCGATTCAATGAACGACACAAGTCTTAAACAAACCCGATTCAATGAACGACACAAGTCTTAAACAAACCCAATTCAATGATCGACACAAGTCTTAAACAAACCCAATTCAATGATCGACACAAGTCTTAAACAAACCCGATTCAATGATCGACACAAGTCTTAAACAAACCCGATTCAATGATCAACACAAGTCTTGTACAGCACATGATTCAACGATCGACACAAGTCTTAAACAAACCCGATTCCTAGAAACAAATTTTCATTTCTTTTTTATTTCTTAAACTAATTATTTGAAGGACTTTTTCATACTGAAAATGAAATCGTATTAGTTTTTCAAGAGTATGACTTACAAAAGAGCAATTCTTCCATGATTTCCAGTAACAAAATTTTTAAAGCTTGTTTTTTCATGACTCTCCAGAAACTCTAAGACCTTTTTGAGCATGTTACGGCTTACTTCCATAACTCTAGCATTCACTACTTAAAAGAAGGGTAACCAGTCTAACGGTGAATATAAATGTAGTTAGAATACTTTTTTCTGTCATATACATGTTCATGTGTAGAAGAATGTTAAAGAATGTGTGTTTATGTGTATAAGAATGTTAAAGATTGTGTGTTCATGTGTAGAAGAATGTTAAAGAATGTGTGTTCATACGTAGAAGAATGTTAAAGAATGTGTTCATGTGTTCTTTAACATTCTTCTATTGTCTGTTCATGTGTAGAAGAATGTTAAAGATTGTCTGTTCATGTGTAGAAGAATGTTAAAGAATGTGTGTTCATGTGTAGAAGAATGTTAAAGAATGTGTGTTCATGTTCATGTGTAGAAGAATGTTAATAAATTTGTGTTCGTGTGTAGAAGAATGTTAAAGAATATGTGTTCATGTGTCGAAGAATGTTAAAGAATGTGTTCATGTGTATAAGAATGTTAAAGAATGTGTGTTCATGTGTAGAAATGTACTTAAATGTGTATCAACGTTGAACCATGTTGGTGTATATGTACCACAGTGTATAATTCAGAAGTGTTTAACAATTCTTTAACCTAATTAGTTTATAATTTGCCCAATATAACTCCTAAGAACTCACAAAAACTTCAAATCTTACCATCCTCATTGTTTTGACTGTAATGTCACCTTTAAAAAGTAATTATAAATGATCAACATGTTGGAAGGAAAACAAAGTTTGATAATAAAAAGAATTATGACACTTATGATAAACAACATTATTTAAAAAGGGGCAAAGATGAAACATCTTGGAATTCTACAGATTTCATCTTCAGTACCCAAAGAAAAATAAAAAAAGAATTTACATCAATCTTTGGACATCATTAAAATTTTATTATCATTTAACGATAATAAAACAAAAATGCATGGAAAGTAAGCAAGAAAATGCAAAATTAGAAGTAACATCAATATTACTACGCAGTGGAAAATGTACAATTTAAATGAACATTGTATGTTATTCAGGGCTGGAGAATGCCGTTTGATGTGCGTGGTTTCTTTAATCAATATTCCCAGATTGGTGTTGGCCTTGCATAGGATAGTGAAATTATATATGGAAAATTCCGAGACATTTATCTGGGTCCACCTTAAAATAAACAAAGTGGCATAATAATCTTCGATCATAAGAAACAGAAGAGCAGGAACTTGATTTTTATGCTGAGATGGACACATAGAGAATTGGTGAAGACTGTTTCATGTTTAAAAAAGCTCAGATGCTAAACACAAGACGGTGTTCTGAACTCGTTACTCACCTATAGAAGGAGCAGAGGTCTGGGTGAAACCTGCAGCCACAGACGATGCTACATTTGATGGGTCATTTCCACTTGATGGAGTTGGCACACGAGATGACATTGGCGACGACCTGTTTAGTGGTGGCAGCTGAGAATGGGGACTAGCACAAGGTGCTACTACTGGAGAATGTTCTTGGCTGGCTGGAATGTTTCCGGTAGATGGTGATGTGGATGTACATGGTATTGGAGCTTGAGGAGGTCCCATAGAATGGGTCATATTCTGCGAGCCCACGGGGCTACTGCTGGGTGGAATGGGAACACCTGCTTGATTCTGTGGAAGAGCCTGCATATTGCTGAACCCACTGTTTCCATAGATCTTGTGTTGGAGATGCTGTCGTAAAGTTGGAGATGGCCTGGGTCCCGTAGAGTTAGCTGCTGCCATCAGAGCAGCTTGGGCAGCAGCGTGAGCTCCACCTGCTGTCATAGAAACTTTTGTATACTGGTTAGGAGGAGGCATAGCATTGTTCATCATGTATGTTGCAGGAGGTGAAGCATTGTTTCCATAGTGGGAATTCATGAAATTGCTACCAGAGGGATTCTTGTAGCCCTGCGACCCAGCATGGTTCACCATCCGAATCATTCCTCCAGAACCGGGGAAGCCGGTTGGACCTCCCGGTCCACTATAATTTGACTGAACATGGCTTCCATACTGTTGCATTCCCATGGAACCTGGTGGACGATGATAGTTACCTAAAGAAACATAGCAGCAATGGGATACCTTTAAAAACAGTCATAAAAATGAATGAGATTAGTACAATTCTAAACTTAACGTTATCAAGTACTGAGTCTGAACGACAACTGCTAAATCAATTGTTTTTGTTTGCAAAGCTACAGAACGGTTATCCGTGATAACCATCTTCCTACTTTTGAAATGATAAACTAGAGGAAGGCAGTTATTAACAGCCCCTTTGGGCTATTATAATTTAATAAGGTATTAGGAGAGTTAATTCCATAAATACCGACACCTTCGCTACATCCACAAAACGCCGACAACGATGAAAGATAAAGACAAATATTTAATAGTTACATCTAACAGAAAGAAGTTATTATCTCATCTACAAAACACTGACAGACAGACAGAGAAGTCATAACAATATTCACAAATAATGACAAATTATAAAGGAACAGACAGACAAGTCATAACCATATCTAAAAATATAGAACATGTATTATAGATAAATCATTAATGATGAACAGATGAACAGAGTAGTCGTAATTACATCCAGAAATCGTAAATGACAAAATGAATAGAAAAAGATTAATTACTTTGGATTTTTTTATTTAATCATATTAGCTTAAGTGTATACAATGAAAAATATTGCATTCTATCATTATTTTAATACGTCATATTTTTCTAAAACTATTTTTGCTTTGGTACATTAAGAGAATCCTTTTTTTTAAAAAAAAATAATCACCTTGTGGATAGTGACCAGGTTGTTGTGAATAAGGCCCCATCTGACTGGCTGTTCCCATTCCTTCTGGTGTCATCTTATTTCCAAACATGGGTGGTGGTGCCATCTGCTGACTAAAACCTATAATACAAACATTTTTACATTTGTGTCACTGCAACATTAGTAATTAAATAAAGACAGTAATGAAATTATTTTATACAAAAGGTGTTATAAGAAACGTTACATCGGTTCAAGAGAGCACCCAAAATTTATTAAAAAAACCAACAGACATTTATACAGTGAGAGAATCAAAAATTCTTTGAACTTTGAAGTATTTTTTTGTAGAAAACAGTAAGCTATTTATTATAAAAACATTAGTTTAAGTTTCATATTGCACTTTCTTTCCAGTAGAATACAAATGTAAGCTTCTTGTTACAACTAAAATATACAATTAAGAAGCACAGGACTTTGAAATTAGATGACAAAGATAAAACTAAATTTTCAAAAGTTAAAGCTATTTTTTTCTATCCACTGATAAATATTTATTATTTTAAGGGCAACAAAAGAGTTTCCTCAAGTTATTTTGCACTTAAAAATAGACACTCTTAATATATCTTCCCTGATATACAAGTGAACAAAATCATAATATTTTTTTATTTTTTCATCTTGATTTTTTTTCTTTTTCATCTTCATCTTGATTTTTTTTTCTTTTTCATCTTCATTTTTAAAATAATTTATATTTCTACATAAAATAAACTTAATAGCCTAAACTTGTGTTTATTATGATCCATTTAATCATCTAATCAAATTAAACCTCACAGATGTTACGAGTACAAAAAGAAAAAACTTAAACCTATCTTCATCTGTAGCTACATAAAGTTATTCAAAACAGCGGCTGTTTCTCATATACAAAATAACTTTGTCTAGATTTTCAAAAAACAGCACTCAGTTAAAAAAAAAAATCAATTCATTAATGGTAGTTGAGAGTAAAATTTTATTTCTTTACCTTGCGTTGCCATTGGTGACGGGTTCATGTGATTTGAAGTCCCACTATCTGACTGACCTGAGGCTGGCCTAGGGGGCATGGGAAGATTGGGTTGATTTCCTATAAAATTTAAAACAACATCAAATTTGTATACCTGCCACAGAAAACCTATTTTATATGCTTTTTTCTCATATTTTCACTGAACAAATCCTCACATAAGTGCTGTTAATATTTTACTCTTTCTTTTTACACAATATAGCAATCAAATTAATATGTTAAAAGTATTCAGGAAAATCCTTAATGTAAAAACAATTGTTTTTTTATCGAGGTTCAGTGTATGCCAAACAATATCACAAAAAACATTATGCTGATTAAAGGAAGAAAGTTGAGTTATATCCTTCCCCACTAAGACAATTATTCATTTCTATTGCCTCTTTCACTGTTGTTCAAGTTCTATCACAAAACATTGTGCTGATTAAAGTAAGAATGGTGAGTTATATTCTTACCTAACAAGAAGTGTCATTTATCATTCCCTTCTATTTCCTCTTCCACTATTGTTTAGGTTTTCTTCTACATCCAATTAACAAGTTTTCATGACCCTAAAAATGTGCCTTTACTTTGGACATAATTTATCTGGGTCATTGATTTTTTTTCCCAAGAATTTTACTTGCTAATTGTGAAGTATTTTCATACACTTAAGTAAAATACTTGGTTGGGAAAGAGTGAATCTAAACCCCCAAGATGAAGAATTTGAAAATTGGGCAGGTCTTTCAAGAATATAATGTGCTAAATCATCAATCTACAATACTTGCCTTGAATGGTGTAGAATTAAGTTGGCAAATATCTATAATGTTGAGTTTCAATGTTATAAAGAGTTAATCAAAACTCTAACAGTTTTCGACTAATTTTTAATCTACAACATACCTCCCTAATTACTTACAAGTCAAATATCTAAATAAATCTAGACAACGATTTCTTTACGAAAGCATTTTGTACTTCGTAGATTTTAAGAAAGCAAAATGAAATGAATTATAAATTCATGAAATAAATACTTATTTACATCAAATACACAACCTAAGTTTCGCTTCATTTAACTTATTATTACAGACAAAATTAATACTCCATAATTCAACTCTTTGGAGTAATTTGATATGGTTTTAAAACTTCCAAAACTTTACATTTAGTACTTACTTAGTAATGAAAATCTGTGTGCTTTAATTAATACCTAAAGTATAAATCATCACTTATATCAAAGGCTCAGCTAATATGAGGTCACAACACCTATTAGACAAGCCCTCAATATCTTTATATTAGCGAGTATGCTACTAACCCATCCACTGCTGATTTGCCGTACAGGGAATGGTCTGCTGTATACGGTGTACCAGCTCGCACAATTTCCAAGCATGTTTAACGCAGCTGCAGTCAAAGGATTAATGAAATTTTGCATAATGTTAAAGACTAACTAGAATTCATTATGTGCAAAATTCTGTTTAAAGAACAGAAATCAGGAGTTTCAAAAACAAACTACGATAAGCATATTCTGAAGTGACTTGTGTACACCGTAAAAATCTGAGTTTTGTCTTTCTGGAGTGTTACCGTAAAACAAGCATTTTAGTCTAGAATAAAATCCATTTTTAATGCATTAGTGTGACAAGGCCATAATGTTCTTTTACACTTATGGATGACAAACAAACCATCGAACTGACTTGGACCTGCTCACAAAAAGTACGAGAGAATTTGTAAACAATGAAAGAAAGAATGCCCAAAGTGTAGTAATGCCATATCTTTGAATCTTAGACAATAACTTGAAAGTTAATTTAAACACAAGTTGAGTATAAATAAGTTGTACATATGTTTTGACTGTGTGTAATTTTAATAAGATAGTTGTTATCATACTATTCACTGGAGAAATGGTGTTGCTTTAACAACGTCATAATGTTTTAAATTTTAGGATGAAAGACTTATTAAAGGGACAACTTGTAAATATAAAGGCTCTATGCACAAAATTGCTGATCAACATATGAATATTAAATTCACAGTTGAAGAACAAAGAAGATTCTGTTAATTAGGGAAAATCATTAAATTAGAATTGTTCTCATAAGCCTAATTTTTTGTTAAACACCTGAATATTAAATTCACACTTGAAGAACAAAGAAGATTCTGTTAATTAGGGAAAATCATTAAACTAGAATTGTTCTCATAAGCCTAATTTTTTGTTAAACACCTGAATATTAAATTCACACTTGAAGAACAAAGAAGATTATGTTAATGACAGAAAATCGTTAAATTAGAATTGTTCTCATAAGCCAAATTTTTGGTTAAACACCTGAATATTAAATTCACACTTGAAGAACAAAGAAGATTCTGTTAATGACAGAAAATCGTTAAATTAGAATTGTTCTCATAAGCCTAATTTTTTGTTAAAAACCTGAATATTAAATTCGCACTTGAAGAACAAAGAAGATTCTGTTAATTAGGGAAAATCATTAAATTAGAATTGCTTAATGGTTCCTCCAGTTATTGTTTACTGCGTTATTAATGATATTGTACTCCTCTAACACTATTTATGTATTGATTTTAAAAAATACCCTGGAATACGATAAAAAATTAAAGCATATAATATTGTACTTCTACCATAATACTCATCACATTCATTTTAAATTATCACAGAATATGACAACTATCTTATGAATAGTGAGATTAAATTCAACCTTCTGTGCTTTTGTTATTGTTTAACAACCTGATAAACCTATATTGCACATACGATCCCATTTTAATATAATAAAAAACACTATTTTATTGCCAACTGCAATGTCTAAAAATAATATAGACTAATTTAAATAACTATAGGATAAAAAAAAAAAAAATCAATAATCGAAAACTGTAATTTAGATATTGTAGCAACCCGACATGAATGCCCACAGCTTTTTTTAAATCTCATTTTCCTAAACTACTCAAGCATAAAACCATTTGTGAATACATGACTTGATTGGTTTAATCTTTATCCCCCAATCTATATAGATAATTTCCTTTGATCAAAGGTTAATTGTAATCCACAAGAAGACACGAATAATGCAATTAACTTCACCATTTAATACTTGGGGGTTTCCTTTGTATATTTTACACTAAAAAAATTAGAAATTTCGCTGACGTGTTTCTCAGTTCCATACACTAAATGTTTCAACAGGCACATATAATTACTCTTTACGATGTAATATGTGGGGCTCTCCAATAGTAAATTGTATATAAACAAGTTGGCAACTTAAAAGTAGGCTTCTCAAGACAAAATAAATTTCAATCCGTCTTTATGTCCATTAATACCGAGAATGTAGCAGAACTTTCTTCACTAAGTGACCAAGTTTTGCTGTATTACTATAACGTGGGGATGATGCAAATTAACTTCAACTTTGTATGTTCAATGTTCTAGATAAATCAAATTAGAACATATTGATCGATTGATTTATTTGTTTGATACGTGTATTCAAATCATCACTTTGTTTTTATAAACTCAATGACTTTCTACAATTTAAATATTAATAACACTAAAGTCCTTAAGATTTTATTAACTATATATATATATATATATATATATCCTCTTTCTTGCTGGTGTGAGGTTCATGCAATGATCCTAGAAAAGATTAATCGTTTAATCTCTGTGCACACAAGTAACCACTGTGAAAATTAAAAACTGTAATACACTTTATTACTTCTTCAAACTGAAAATGGCCTTTATCACGTATGAATATGTATGACCAGGAATAATAAATACTGGTTTTTGTTGAATTTTTGTGCATACACAAGAGCTACATGCAGTAACCCTCTCCAATTTTGAAGTGATAAGTCTAGGGGTAAGCAGGTTCGATGACAAGTTGTGATCCTGACCCAATGATTGCCCCAACCCCTAGTGGTGGAAGGTAAAATCTGTGAAGTGATAAGTCTAGGGGTAAGCAGGTTCGATGACAAGTTGTGATCCTGACCCAATGATTGCCCCAACCCCTAGTGGTGGAAGGTAAAATCTGTGAAAGCACCATATTTACAAATATTCTCTTTTACAGTAAATGTACATTAATATCCAATCTATCCTGGAAACACTTTGTAAAAGTACGATAAAAACAACAACTGGAGTGAAGCTGCTATAAATAAATAGAATTTTCCTTATCTTGGGTGAAGAAAATTACACAGATATTTTTGTATAATGCAACATTTTATAGAAGCATATGGGAATATCAGCAACAACAGGATTGTAGTGGGAAATATTGGAATACCAGCAACAATAGGATTGTAGTGTCAAATATTGGAATATCAGCAACAATAGGATTGTAGTGTGAAATATTGGAATATCAGCAACAATAGGATTGTAGTGTGAAATACTGGAATATCAGCAACAATAGGCCTGTAGTGTGAAATATTGGAATATCAGCAACAATAGGATTGTAGTGTGAAATATTGGAATACCAGCAACAATAGGGTTGTAGTGTGAAATATTGGAATATCAGCAACAATAGGATCATAGTGTGAAATATTGGAATATCAGAAACAATAGGATTGTTGTGTCAAATATTGGAATATCAGCAACAATAGGCCTGTAGTGTGAAATATTGGAATATCAGCAACAATAGGATTGTAGTGTGAAATATTGGAATATCAGCAACAATAGGATTGTAGTGTGAAATATTGGAATATCAGCAACAATAGGATCATAGTGTGAAATATTGGAATATCAGCAACAATAGGATTGTAGTGTGATATATTGGAATATCAGCAACAATAGGATTGTAGTGTCAAATATTGGAATATCAGCAACAATAGGCCTGTAGTGTGAAATATTGGAATACCAGCAACAATAGGATTGTAGTGTGAAATATTGGAATACCAGCAACAATAGGATTGTAGTGTGAAATATTGGAATACCAGCAACAATAGGCCTGTAGTGTGAAATATTGGAATATCAGCAACAATATGATTGTAGTGTGAAATATTGGAATATCAGCAACAATAGAACTGTAGTGTGAAATATTGGAATATCAGCAACAATAGGATTGTAGTGTGAAATATTGGAATATCAGCAACAATAGGATTGTAGTGTG